CATCTCGGTGTAGAAGTTTCTCGGAACTTTTTCACACTTTGATGCTGTTCTGGCGTCGCGGCTCGCTGCCGCCGTGGGGATCCCCGCTGGACTTACGTCCCCAGTCGTCTGTGCTACTTGTCAGGCTTGGGTCGACGTCCTCGGGTACGTTCCTCTCGTTCGCACCTGGACGTTGGGACGTCTCGCGCCATTTTGGTTGCGCTTGGTCTCCTCGGTCCCTACTTCAGGCCCGTTGGACGCGCCGTTGTATGCCCGTTCAGGGGCTGCCTCTGGCTCCTGGATTGCCTTGGCCTCGCCGCCCTGGACGCTTTCGTGAGCCGCCTGATCCGCGGCCCCGCGCGCGTTAGGTAATTTAGTCGCGTCCGCGGCCCGTGCGCGACCTCCCGCCGCTGGCGCTTCCGCCTGCGGCTGTAAACAAAGAGTATCCTCATCACACCATCCAGAAACGATGCCCAGGCGAGCTGAGGTGATAAGGGAAGTGCGGGAGCAAAGAGGGGGACAACCGAACCGTGTGAAGGAGGGAGGAGGAGGAGGCTGGATGTATGGATGAGGGAGCGGGGAGGAGGACGATTAATAGGATGAGGAGGAGGCGGAGGAGGAGGAGGAGGAGGAGGAGGAGGAGGAGGAGGAGGAGGAGGAGGAGGAGGAGGAGGAAGAAGATAATGAGTAGGAGGATTAAGGGGGACCAGGAGGAGGAGGGTAAGCCAAATAGCCAGGAGGATAAGGAGGAATATAAGTAATACTAAGGAAAAGAAGCAGGGCGAACAAAAGAGCCATAAGCCTCTTGAGTGCCTCTCGGAGCCTCCCCTGGTGTCTCTTGGAAGTGAAAAGGAGGAGGAGGAGGAGAAGGAGGAGGAGGAGGAGGCGGAGGCGCAGGAGGAGAAGGGGGCGGGGGACAGAGAGAAGGAAGGAGGCAGGAGGAGGAGGAGGAGGAGGAGGAGGAGGAGGAGGGGGAGGAGGAGGAGGAAGAGGCGGATAAGGAGGAGGAGGAGGAGGAGAAGGAGGAGGAGGAGGACAGTACGACGATCAGAACCGCCTCCTCGGATGCCTCTTGTTTTTTTTGGGGGGGGGGCTCTTGGAGCGTCTGGGGGGCATCTTGGGTGCCTCAGGGATCCGCTCGAAGAGGCTTGGGGGCCTCTCAGGAGCCTCTTGGAGGCCTCTTGGGCGCCTCTTGGGGCCCTCTTGGGGCGCTCTTGGGGGCCTTGGACACGCTCTTGGGGCCATCTCGGAGGACATCGACCAACCATGAGGGTTTCCTTGATTAGCGCTGCCCCTCGAGAGCCTCTAAACTCGCCTCCTGGGGCGCTCTTGGGGCGCTCTTGGAGCGCTCTTGGGCGCTCTTGGGGCCGTCTTGAGGCTCTCTTGGGCCCCTCTTGGTGCCCTCTTGGGCCATCTTGGAGCCATCTTGAGGCCTCGGGTGGCCATCGGAAGCGAACAGACGAGAAGGCACAGCTCATTGATTTTCCTTAGGGTTTAGAAGGATTTTGGCCTCTTGGCGGCCTCCTTGGATGTCTCGGAGGCCTCTTGGAGCCGTCTTGGAACCTTTTCGGGTCCTCTTGGAGCATTTTGGAAGCCATCTTGAGGCATCTCGGGCTATCTTGAGCCATCTTGGATGTCTTCTCGGGCTCTCAGAGGCCTTCTTGGAGCCGTCTTGGGCCATCTTGGATGCTCTGACCGCTCGCGACCGCCTCCGTCCAGGTCTAGGGGAGGAGGTAGGGGGAGGGGTCAAGACTCCCGCCCCGCCCGAAAGCCGTCTCGCTCACTCCCACCCGCCCTCCCAACACATACGTAGCACCCGAGACTGGCCCGAGCCTCAGCATATTCAGCAGTCGTCTTTGGATGGGCAGCTACTGGGGGCCAATCCGCCGCCGCCGCCGCCGCGTCCGCCGCCGCCGCCGCCGCCGCCGCCGCCGCTGCCCGCCGCCGCCGCCTCCGCGCCGCCGCCGCCGCCTCCGGCGTCGCCGCGCGCCGCCGCCGCCGCCGCCGCAGCCGCCGAAGCCACGCCCCCGCCGCAGCCGCCCAGGCCGCCCCCGCCGAAAGTGTACTCTGCATTGGTTTTTGACAGGATGGTGGTGGACAGGGATGGTGGTGTGAGGCCGCATCGGGTTGGCTGCGCATGCTCCGAATTTGGAGGCAGAGTGTGTTTTGTATTGTTTCTACAAGGGATGGTGGTGGCGTGCCTTCATGGTTCCTGGTTGTCTACCAGTCGCCTGGGGGAGGGGGTATTTATCAACAGGGAACAGTGATAACCCCCTCCCCGACGGGGGAGAAAGGGTTTGGAAGAGGAAGCGCTCTAGACCACCTTCCGCCCTAAAGGGCTGATGGGATTTGGGCGGTTTGGTCTGATACATCTGTAGCAGAGACCCCCTATCCCTAATGTTTTTTGCCCTCCCAACTTAGGTCCCCTCCCAAAGGGTTAGGGTTCTTTTTTGGCTGATCAGCAATGACTGTTTTCCCAAACAGGTTTTGGACCAAATCTAGTGCACCACATCTAGTGCACCACCCCATTTCAGCTGGAACCTCTTTTGGGTCAACCAGGGATCTTGGATGCCATTTTGGGTTCTCTGGGGCCATCTTGTAGCCATCTTGGTCATCTTGGACGGCCCCCACCCTCGCGGAACGCCCCCTCCAGACCCAGGAGGAGGGGCCAGAGGGATTTGGACCCCCCTCTCCGAAGGGGAAGACTGGTGTGAGCAGAACGAGCTCGTGAGACCGCTCACGCTCAGCGGGCTGGTCGGATGCTAACGCGAGTGCGTTGCAGCAGCGATTCGCTGTGAGCGCCTGTCGGCATTCGTTTGAACTCTTCGCAGATCTCAAGAAGTCTTTGAAATTATTTGGAAGCCCTCGGACGCCTTAGGAGGCTTGGACTCGAGGTCCCAGGGGAGAGAAATATCAAATGGCCGCCGGCCCATCACTCAACCGTCCCGGTCTGTGGGTATGAAACTTGAAGGATGTTCGTTGGGATCTCGTGGGATGCCTTTTGGGGGCCTCTTGGATGCAGTTTTGAGGGGGGCCGTTTTGGGGCCTCTTATGCCTCGTTTGTGCCTCTTGGGGGCCTCTTGGGGGCCTCTTGGGGGCCTCTTGGGGCCGTCTTGGGCACCTCTTGGAGCCTCCTGGGGGCCTCTTGGGGCGGAAGGCTCGGATTTTCGGTTCGTATTCCCTCTCTTGGGCTCCGTTTTTGGTCCGTCTTGGGGCCCTCTTGGGCCGTCTTAGGCGCCTCTTGGGCCGTCTAGGGGCGCTCTCAGACCCTCTTGGGGCCCGCTTGGATGCCTCTATGGCCGCCTTGGGGTGGTCTTGGGCGCCTCTTGGGCCGTCTTGGAGCGTCGGAAAGCGGAAAAGGCGAGACCATCCAAATCTTTCAGACACCCCAGGAATATCAATGATGGTCTTCTTGGGAGGCCACTTGGAGGCCTTGGGGCGTCTTGGAGGCCTCTTGGGCCATCTTGAGGCCATCCTGGGCGGCTTGGAGCGATCTTTCGGCGACTCGGGGCCCTCTTGGACCGTCTTGGGGGCCTCTTTGGGCCCTCTTGGCCTGTCTTGGGGCCTCTTGGCTCTGAACAAATCACGCGACAAGACGCGACAAAACACGAGAAGCCTCCGTACATTTGGCAAATTGGGCTCCAGGTCCCTTAACGAACCCTCAGAGGTGAGGAGTGAAGCTCAGAGGATTAGGCAAGGGACCTGCGGACACGCCCACTCCGTGCCCAAGGGTACGGTGGCGGACTACACCCATTCGGAGGTCGTCGCTGACCCCCGAGTGCTCGCTGCTGAGTCTTGAACATTTTACGATGTGTCCATGAGAGCGGACAGGCGCGGAAGAACGAGCAAGTTTTTACAACTCTGTTTTTCGGGCGTCTGCGGAAGTCTTTGAAGATCTCTGTAGGTCTTTGAGCACCTTGGTGGCCTTCGGAACAGAAGATTCGGAGGGTATCGGCAACCTTTGGGAATTTTCGGAGGCTGTTGGAGGTTTCTCCTTATGTATCGGTCTATGTCAGCAGGAGGGAGGTGAAGAGGCGGCGGGGAAAGGGTATGCTATTATTTTCGGGCTCCCAGCGCTCCACAACGGCTCAGGATACCTCCGTGACCGCTTAATCTCTGTCCAGTAGGCCCTCAAGAGGGCACCGCGAGGACATGATAATACTTAGACTGAAAGCAAACTCGCCAACCACATGCACAACTGTTGGGACGGCAGAACACGTGAGATACGAGAGCAATGCTCAATGAGACACAATTGAGAAGGGGAGCTTTGGAACAAGGGGGGAGGCATGAGGGACAGGAGGGAGGGGCAGCGAGGGAGGGTGAGTATGTTCGAGGATGCATCCGACAGAGCGGCAGGACGCCCAAGATGACACATGACAATGCACATTGCTGCTGCTGATGATGATGCTGATGATGACGACGACGAGGATGATGTCGATGATGCTGATGATGCTGGTGGTGGTGAGGATGCTGGTGATGATCATGGGTGATGATGATGATGCTGACGCTGATTATGATGCTGATGCTAATGATGATGATGCTGATGATGATGCTGATGCTGATGTTAATGATGATGATGATGCTGATGCTGATGCTGATGATGATGCTGCTGATGATGTTGATGATGATTATGATGATGCTGATGATGATGATGCTGATGATGATGATGATGATGATGATGCTGATGATGATGGTGGTGGTGGTGGTGATGCTGCTGCTGATGATGATGATGATACTGGGTGAACGATTGCTATATCGTTGGGTTTTTTCTCCTCGTTCTTCTCCCCGCCCCCCGCCTCCGACCCACTCCATGGGGAGCCAGTTCTGCGCCAACGCGAACACAGTGCAATTTCCAACACTAGCAGGGTTTCCTCTTGCACACCGCACCCAATCAACAAGATGTTGGAGCGCCAACCAGATCCGCGGTGCGAGCCCCGAAGGGTTCTGCGCCGAATCAACTGCGAGCACGAGCCCAGAAGGGTCCTGCGCTTAATTTTACTTGGCACGACCCCTGGAATGTTCTACGCAAAAGCAGCGTAAGCTGAGAGCGCGAGCCACGACGGATTCTGCGCTCGAAGCTTACCTGGCACGAGCTCCGAAGGGTTCGCCGCCAGCGGCACGAACCCCGAACGTTTCAGTGCCCTCAACACGCAAGCTAGAAGCACGAGCTTGCCTTGCACGAGCCCAAAAGGGTTCGCATATAGGGCACGAGGCTCGAAGGGTTCTGCACCCCGAGCGCGGTTGACACGAACTTCTAAGGCTTCTGCGCCAACGGGGGAGCTAGAATCACGTGCCCCACATGTTTCTGAGCTCGAAGCTTACATGGCGCAAGCCCCGCAAGGTTTAGCGCCAGTGGTATGCGTCCCGAAAGGATTAGCGCCATATTGCCCCAGAGACAAATCTCCCAAACACCAGGAGAAACAACAAGACACACCAGTAACCAGCATACCAAACAGTCAGACAATTGCGGGGGCACAGTGCTTTCGCAGTGTTCACCTGTCCCCGACAGCGAACACAATGCTTTCAATGTGCAACATCTGGGTCTTAGTTAGTATCAGATGATCCCTGTGCAGACGCAGCGATATCTGCTTCATTTATTTATTTGTTTGTATATATATATGTATCAATCCAATGAAAGTCAGTCATAAGCAACGCGTCTTTATCGTGAAGTCGTTGTTTGTTCGGCCTGCAGCAGATGAACGCTGTGAGCACACAGCGTTTCCACATTTGTCTTAAACCAACATTTTTTCTGGCGTCTGGGGGACGGGGGAATTTGGTATCACAACTAAAGAGTACCGTACCTACCTTGCAGTGATATCCGCTCAGAACACAGCACACACCTTACCATACTAACGTAACCTTGCCAGAACGCTGTGTTTCTTACGGGGGTCACCTGCTCCCGATCTAGAACATCAACGGTTTGATTGTGCAGCTATATAGTTATCAGGGCATTTCTTATCTGGTCAGTAAATAGAAATCAGTCATGAGACCAGGTGCTTCTATTTCCTGCACAGAGATGGCTGACGTTTAAGACGGCTCTTTGGACTAAATCGCACATCGGGTGCAATGCCAACCATCTGTTATGGAAGTCATTGAATTCATTGAATTTGTTACTCTTACTCGGGAACGTGTGATAATTTCCGCACGTGGAAGGCCTCTTGTATACACATATATATATATATACTCCAGGCCAGCGCAGTTTGTGTTCTGTTGTTGTTTCGGCGTGTGTGTGTGTGTGGGTGTGTGTGTGTGTGTGTGTGTGTGTGGGGGTTGAATTGCTTTTTTGGGGGGGATATTGTTTTCTTGTTGTGACTGGATCTGACTGGAATCCTGAGCTCGGCGTTGCAGGAATATACGTGCAGATCTTGGGAACACCGCCGAGAGAAGATAACGAGACCGAGAACGAGAGAGAGAGAGAGAGACAGATCGGGAGATGGGGGAGAGAGAGAAAGAGGCACTGCTTATACATATATATAGATATAATATGTGTTTGCAAGCGACGAAAGGAACACAAACAAACAAACATACACACATGGAAGGGCGGGCTACTGGTTTGTGTGTTATACATACACGTAGGTGGATGTAACGTCTACGAGTAGGAAGAGGTGTGGTGGTAGTGGCGGTGATGATTCTGATTATTATGATGATGATGATGATGATGATGATGATGATGATGATGATGATGATGATGATGATGATGATGATGATGATGATGATGATGATGATGCTGATGATGAAGATGATGATGATGCTGATGATGATGCTGATGCTGATTCTGCTGCTGATGATGATGATGCTGCTGATGATGATGATGATGATGATGAGGAGGAGGAGGAGGAGGAGGTAGGAGGAGGAGGAGGTAGGAGGGGGAGGATGAGAGCGAGGATGAGACGGTGAGAGGAGGAGGAGGACGGGGGGGAAGCAGGACGGAGCGAGGGGGAGAGGAGGGGGAGCAGGAGGAGGAGGAGGAGGAGGAGGAAGGAGGAGTAGGAGGATGGAGGAGGAGGAGGGAGTAAGGAGGGGGGCGGCGAGGAGGAGGAGGAGGAGGAGGAGGAGGAGGAGGAGGAGGAGGATGAGGAGGAGGAGGAGCAGGAGGAGGAGGAGGAGGAGGAGGAGGAGCAGCAGCAGGAGCGATAAAGGTGAGGACGACGAGGAGGACGACCAGCAGCAGCAGCAGCAGCAGGGGCTTCGAGCGGCGCGACTGGCCCGCGCACGGCGGCCTGGGGCGCCCTGGGCAGGACGGCGACGACTCGCTGGTTGCCCTGCTGCACGGCCAGCGCGGGCCCCAGCGGGCGGCTCCGCCGCGGCGCGTGGACGCCTGTGGCCGATCCGAGACAGCAGTCTTCTCCCTCGTGCTTCTTTCTCGTGATCGTGCTCTTGCAGTGGAAGCCCATGCCAAGAAACACCCTGCTTGCCTCCAGGGTTCCCTGGGCTTCTTGGGTTTCGATGGTTCTGCCACGGAAAGCGTGACGTTCCCATACAAAAAATCAGTGGACTTCTTGGGGTCTCAGGGTTGGGTTTCTTGTGGAAGGTTTCTTGTGGCCGGGCCTCCACTGAATTCATTATTCTGCCGATCGGCGCGGGCCCTCGCACCCCCCCCCCTTCCTCCATGGAGCAGATCTGGGCTGTTTCTGGCGCCTGCTTCAAGCAGGTGGAGTCTCCCCCGCAGGACGCACTGTTGCGAACAATCGCATTGAGCAGAGGTCCAGAGCCAGACCCCCCCCCTCCCCTCCCCTTCCGCCCAATGTCGAAATGCCGAAGAAAAACACGTTCACCTGGACGAGCCAAGGGGCGCTGGTGCAGCAAGGACGTTCTCTTAGGGAGGGTCGATGCACGACCTGTCTTTTTTTCCTCGGTCCACGTCTCCCTGCACGTGCGCGTTCCAAGCTGCTCGGAAACGAAACGGGAAAGGCGCCGAGATGCTCCGTCGGCACGAACGAAACAGACTACGGCGGAGGGCCTTTGCTGTTTTCGGCCTCTGGGGGCCCTGGCCATTGCCCTGGACAGTAAGGAAACGACTCGCGACGAAAAGCTAGTCCTGGGGAACGGGTCGAGAAATCGGCACGGAAAGCATGGGGAAGACGATCGACATCGGAGTTGGCTGGGGGGCCGAGGTGGCCCACCACCGGTTCCGGCCAGCAGAAGGGGGAGAGAACGGGGCCCCCTCGCCTCGTCGCCATGGCGGAACGCGGCTCGAACAGCCAGTCAGTTCCGACCCCCGGAGACGTCTGGGGACCGAGTCTGAGCGAATTTGCTCACGTCCCCTCC